ATTATTTCTTGTGATATCATCTTAATATTTAGCAATCATATATTTGCCCTACTATTTTTTTAATTTTAGACATGATTTATTGATTCCTGCTATGAACATAAGTACTTCATTCCCATTTCCCCTGTCCCCACCCTGTCCCCCTTCATTCCCTCCATGGCTCCTTACCAAAACACAGACCTTTCTGCCCACTTTGTAAGCTATGTGATGCCATAGYTTTTTTAAAATTAGACTCAATATTTGTGCTAATGTGCATGCACACTTGAGTCATGTAGAGTATTATGATTCCATAATGCTACTTCTAACAACTCTGTTTTTCCTGTAGTTGACAATGTCTTTTCCCAGTTGTCTGGTCTTGCTGCACAGCTCTCACTCTGAGACTTCTTCAGTTCACCATTCTGACAAGTCCTTTGCCAGGAACACTTACACACTTTTGGTGTGAATATAAATGAGCACAATGATGATGGAAATCRGTATGGAAGCTCCTTTAAAGACTAGGAATGGAACCCCCATATGACCCAGCTATASCACTCCTTGGTGTTTATCCTAATGAATTAAAGCCAGAGCACTATAGCAATATATGCAAACCCATGTTCATAGCCAAGCAATTCACAAGAGCCTAGGTGTCCGTCAACACATGAATGGATAAAGAAGATGTGATATATATATATATATATATATATATATATACACACACACACACACACACACACACACACACACAATGGATGTCATTTGTATGAAAATCGTTGGAACTTGGAAAAAATCATGTGAAATAAACCAGACTCAGAAAGTCAAGGGTTATATGTTTTCTATCATATGTGGTAGCTAGAGAGGGAAACAAAAGTCGGGGGGAAATGGATCTCATGAAAATGGAAGGAAGATGAAAAAGATAGGGGAAGGGGACCAGGGGAAGGAGGAAGGARGAGAAAGGGGAAGTACTGGTGAATGAAATTGATCAAATTATGTTATATGCATATATYTGACAATGAATCCCGATATCATGTAGAATCATTATGGTCCAATAAAATTTTAAACTACTACATCTGAAAACTACTACATCTGAAAATGACAGAAATACTGGTAGGAATAATAATTCAGAGTGTACCTATAATATATCACTATATATTATATCATTATAATATCATTATAATATCATTATAGTTTACTTAAGTAAATGAAAAGGATTGAGGGTTTTTTTTTAATGCTTCAAATCATCTACAAAATATTTTTATGTATCAACTGGCAACTTGTTACAGCCCTTTTTATACAGATATATTTGTATTTTGTAGTGTGCTAGGTCCAAATAAAAGAGTGGACAGGAAGGAGAAGTCCTTTCCCTCTCTTGTTTCCTGTATCTCTTGTTTTTCTCTCTTAGTTTGCTGTCTGAGTGTGGTGAGACCTCAATCCAGTTGGTTTGGAGGCTGTCTTTCATGTTACAGGCTATCCTCTAATAGTTTGTGATCTTGTCTGTCCATTTATATTTCAGAATAAATTGCAAAAGAGTTTAGAATAGGTGAAGTTTGTCAATTCTCACCGTGAGTGGAGTAGGAAACAAGGTAATCAGGTGAGAGTGAGAAAACAAGAAGAGATCCAAGGTTTCTCTCATGCCTAAATTTTCCTTTTGGTTCAGTTGTTTATGTATGGCTCGAATCCTTCATCAACCTACCTAGCTCTCTAAGCAGCTTGCTGTCAAAACAAGCTATAAATGACTAYTTTTGCCCTTTTTCTTCATCAAGTATTTAAGCATTCAAGGAAATTTTAGGATAAAGATTCCATTTCCTTCTTCCTTCTATCAAAAGCAAAAAAAAGAAAACATACTCTAGTGTGTAGGTCCCAGGGCTTTGTGAAACCTCCAGATAATCTTTAAATCTTATCAGAAAGTAATATCAACTCTCATCCATCCATTCATTTGTTCAGTGAATATTGAATTCTATTTACTAGTCAGATACTCTGCCATCTCCTGGGCTTACAGTTATGAAGAAAACAGAAACAGGACTTGTCTGCCTCTCCCACCAGACTATCAGCTGGGGGGACAGACAGTAATCAAGGAAGCCAACAAATAAGTGCACACTGGCAAACTGTGATAAGGGCTTTGTCAAAAATGAGCTGACCATGTCGTGAGAACAGAAAGGAGACCCATTGCATAGAGGAAGGGGATTCRGAGGAGGAAAGGGCGAGGGGAAGTACTGGGAAGCAAAACTGATTAAATTATCAGTGTGTGCAGAAATCCCACAATGAAACCCACTATTCTGTAWAATTATTATGCACCGATAAGAAATGATTCAAAAATGAGATGGCAACTGTTGAAAAAATAAAGCTAAGCACATTGAAATTGTTTAAGTTATATTTGAGGCAACAGTGATTCAAAATCAGGCAGCTCTACACCACAAGAAGTTCAGGGTTACGGGGGAATATGAGGGGGAAATCATTTTAAAAGTGTTTATGGCAGTAAGACAAACAAAACACCTATTTGGTTAAAAAAGGGAAGTCCCTAGCTAGAGGTCAGCTGGTGATTTCTGACTGGTTGGGTCACGCTGGGTTGAGTTTCTGTTTGCTTCTTGAGGAACCTAGAACACGGAAGCCATCTCAGCCWAATGATTTTATTATGTTTTTATTAGTGAGTTATAATTCTGTATAATAGTTGGGGCTCATTGTGACATATCCACACATGCACATGACATAATTTGCTCCATTTCGTTCTGCAGTGCTTCTCCTTTCTCTCTCTCCTTCCCATCCTCCTGATCTTCCTCTTTTCTACTGGTCTTCTATTTATGTTTTTATATATATTTTTATTTTACTTATTTATTTATTTTAGTACCAGGGATTGAACTTAGGAACACTTAATCAYTGAGCCACATTTCCAGCCCTTTTTTGGTTTTTTAATTTATTATTATTATTTATYTTAAGACAGGGTCTCACTACGTTGCCTAGGGCCTCTACTAAATTGCTGAGACTAGCCTTGAACTTGTGATCCTCCTGCCTCAGTCTCCCAAGCTGCATGAGCCATTATGCCTGGCCTATTTGATTATTTTTTTTAATTGGTATATGATAATTCTACACAAAGTAGAACTCAWTGTTATATGTTATGTTATATGTTCATATTTGCACATAGTATAACCTGGAGGGTTTCATTCACTAGTATCACCCCTTTCCCTYTCCTCCCTTCCCCTCGATCCCCTTGCCAAAATTATACTATAGAGCTATAGTAATAAAAACTGCATGAGATTGGCATCAAAACTGACAACAGAATAAAATAGAAGACACAGAGATAAGCACAGAGATACAGTCATCTCATCCTTGACAAAGGTGCCAAAAACTTACCTTTGGGAAAAGACAGTCTTTTTAATARTGGTGCTGGAAAAASTAGGTATCCATGTGAACAAGAAGAAAACTAGATCCTTATCTCTTACCCTGCACAAAAGTCAAWTCAGAATGGATCAAAGACCCAGGAATTAGACCAGAACTTTGTAACTGCTCAAAGGAAGCATAGGATTAACACTCCAACATAGGGATGCAGGCATCAACCAATAAGACTGCTAACATTAATAATGTATACAAACAACACTTAATAATTTTATTAACTTATTATGTTTCAAATCATTCCATTTTCCTTAAATGAATAAGCTTCTTTTTCTTTCTGACCATTTTAAAACACACGTAAAAAAAAAAAAAAACACAAACAGATTATTTTGAACAATTAGAGGCGTAGCAGCTTGTTGGTAATTTTGAACTTAGTTTGCAAATAAAATAGATTTTATGCTTCAGTCAATATCAGAGTCCCTCGCTCACCCACCTCGGAAGGGGCTGCATCCCCTGTGCTCCTGTGCAGAATTCTTAATCTCTGCCTCCAGCTGACTGCCTGCTTTCTATTCTTCTTCTTGCCCTCTGCAGTGTCAAATTCAAATCCACTCAATCTTCAAAGCTCCCAGGATCCAAAAGAGGAGAAACTCTTTCCTCAGGGAACAAGATAGGAGGGAAGCTGAATGAACAATGACYACTGGTTAGGAATTGGAATAAAAGGTAGAGAAAAACTGGGGAAACAAAACCAAACAACAACAACAACAAAACAGGAAAATGGATTTTCAAGGTGGAAAAGCCAGAGGCATGAATAGGAAGGATGGCTCCTTTAGAAAATGAAATCTATGAATGGAGCTGGAATATCCTCCAGGCCTCCAGAGTGAGAGGGAAAATGTCAATATCTGAAATTAATATCATATTTCCTTGTGTCCTGTGACCCCCAGAACAGATGTTCCAGGGTTTTTTTTAAAGTGCACCATAGTTATACATTATAGGGGTTCATTTTGACATATTCATAAATGCATATAACATAGTTTTCTCCATTTTTGAGCCCCTGMCCCCCCATCTCCAACCCCTTCCTCTACTCTGTTGGTCTTCTGTTTATTTATAACTGACTGGAATGCATTGTGACATATTCATACTTGCACATAGAATAATTTGCAGACCCACATTTTCAAACACCTATTACCTGTTGTGCATTGGAGATGCAGAGAAAGATAAGAATGGATTTCAATGACAGTTCAGTGTAGGAGGCAGACACATAAAGCCCAGAATATAGCACATTCGGTGCTGTGTTTAACACAATACTATGCTAAAGTCATTTACTAACATTAACCGGAAGACAAGTTGGTCAAAAACTGTCGGATACAGGTTGTATTGACTATAACTGTGAGTTCCCTGAGGGCTGGGAATTATCAGAATCTCTTCTTCACTCCCACTTCGGTGGAACAACAAGGGTGCATAAAACATCCTCAGTGAATATCTATTACTAAAATGAATAAATAGGCGCTAAGATACTTATACCTTAGATAGTGGGCAGATACCATAGACATGTTTCTTTTAACATTTAAAWTTTTATTATTTAAAAATTATTAATATTTTATACTTAATTTTTATTTTAAAATATTTAAATTTATTATTTAAAAATTAATAATAATAAATTATTATTATTTTAAAAAAATTTAAATGACCCAACTCGAGAGGCTAAAACAGGAGGATCACAAGGTCCAGACCATCCTTAGCAATTTAATGAGACCCTGTCTCAAAATAAAAAATAAAGAGGGTTGAAGATGTAGCTCAATGGTAAAGTGCCCCGGGGTTCAATCCCCAGTATTCCCCCAAAATATTAATGTTTTTAATTAACACATCATATTTATACACATGTATGAGGTATAATGTGATATATTGATATATGTATACAATGTGACATGATTAAATCAAGTTAATTAACATTCATCACTTCCTTTTTTATGGTGAGACATGTGAGATTAATTCTCTTGATTATTTTGAAATATATAACACATTTTTTTTGGTTGTTGCTGGGAACTGAACCCAGGGCCTCATGCATGCTAGGCAAGTGCTGTACCACTGAGACACATCCTGTGCCCCTATAACATATTATTATTATTGACTATAGCAGCCCTGCTAATCAATAGATCTCAAAATCTATCATCTTGTCTATCTGAAACTGTGCAGACTTCATTCAACATCTCTCTATTCCCTACAGCATCATAGGATTTTAAGCACAAGCACTTCTTAATTTTGAATTAACCCTCTGGCAGTGCAATCAGGAAGATGATTGGGAAAGAAAGCGGTTAGGAGGCTATGGGTAGCRCTCAAACAGTTACAGGAAAGTAAACAATCGGCTGATGGTGGTGGGAAAGAGGAAGCCTCAAAATGATACCTGAATTTATGCCTTGAGCAACAGAAGAAAATGGAAGGAKTAGAGAAARGCCCAACAGAAGRGCAGCACCAGTCCTGGGCAGGATTGTGATCTGGAAGAAGAGGTCCCCACGAGAGAGTCACCCAGGTGACTAAGGAAATGTGTCAAGTGCTGGGAGAATTCAGAATCCACTGAATTTTTAAAAAATGGTTTTGTAGTTGTAGATGGACAGAATGCGTTTATTTCACTTGTTTATTTTTATGTGGTGCTGAGGATGGAACCCAGTGCCTCACACATGCCAGGCAAGCGCTCTGCCACTGAGCTACAGCCCCAGCCCCAGAATCCASTGAATTTAACCACTGGGATATTGCTGGAGGCAAACCAGCAGCAAGGGATTGCAAAGTGAATGGTTGAATAACTGGAGAGGGTGGGCAGCTGCTGTTTCAGGAGTCACTGTTTCTGAAAAAAGGAGAGAAACAGAATGTGTTTTAACCAAGATGATTTCCTGCCAAGGCCTGTGAAAAGGAGAAGCCAGGGGAGATCATGATGCCCAGCAGAGGATCCCAGTATTGGTCCCTCTCAGACTAGCTCTAGGCAGGGGGAAGAGCTGAGGCTTCTCTAAGGACACAGTCAAGGGAGGCCTGGGGTCCCTCCTTGTGGACTCTGCAGGACTGAGTGGGAATGGGGGGCACCTTCCTCCAGGGACTTCMCAAAATGAGCAGAAGCCCAGCTGAGTCTGCAGCAGATGGAGGCGAAAAGGATCAGAGACTGACAGAGAAAGTGGACAGAGTGGGCCCTGCGATGGTGGTTCCAAAGCCCTCATCTCCTGGTGCAAATTACAAACTCTCCCTTTTTCTTCCTTTTTAAAAAAAAATCTGGATCCAAGAGGAAGGAAGGCAGGAAAGCAGGAAGGCTGAGAATTTGGACCTCACCATGAAGAAGAAAAGGGTYACAGAAGAAGGCCATTACCTGAACAGAGGGGCCTCATGGGGATGGAACTAGAGTTCTGGCCGACTGGATTCCTGGCAGTGCAGCGGTAGCTGCCACTGTCCCCAGATCTCCAGGAGACCCTGAGAGTGGTTCCTCCATGGGACACAACTTCCCCCTGGCCATGGGGGTCCCAGCTGTACTGAACATCTTCTCCGGCTTCTTCCACGAAGCAGGCCAAGGTGACGAAGCAGGTCCTGTTCCTCATGATCTGGGAGCGGACAGTGATATTGGGCTTCTTCAGCCTCCCTGTGCCAAGAAGAGTCTCAAGCTATGAGAGAGCTCAGGTCCAGGGAAGTAAGAAAAGGACAAGGATGAAAAAAATTAATGTGCATCCCTCCTCCCCTCCTCACCGTAGACATGCAGGGTGAAATCCTTGGTGATGTTGGTCAGGGGAGAACGCAGACTTATGCAAGCTTTATAGGTGCCAGAGTCCCACAGCCCCAAGGGGCTAATTTGAAGAGAATAATCATAATGAGGGCTGCTCAGTCGTCCACTGTATGGTCCCTGAATCTCAGAAACCAGGACTGGCTTGCCAGCTGGKCCTGGTTGCAAAACAGCAATAAGCCCTTTGGAGCTCCATGTGACACTTTCTATCTCCTGCTCCACTGGGACCTCCAGGGGCAGAATGGCTGACTCCCCAACGGTGCCAATCACTACCTTTCCCACTGTAACTTCTCCCAGGATTCCTGACCCTGCAGACAGAGAAAGGAAAGTGTCAGTGTCTCCCTGCCCACTAAGGGAAGCCACAGACTTTGTCACTCCAGACCCACCCACTCTAGGCCCATCTTATCATCTCAAGGGTGTTATTCTCCCCTCCCCAGGGCCTGGAGAGAACCAGGATTGCTTCTCCACCTTCTGTCCACTCTAAAGCTGCTGTTCAGGGTACATGCTTGAGTTCCTGGGGTACCTGTACTTGAGGATCCAGGTACCTGTACAAATGTGTGGCACTGAGACCGGGTGGGAGCTGCTGTTGCTGACTGGGTTCTTGATTACGCAGGTAAAGGTCAGAGCACTGTCCTCTGGCCTCAAGGAAACACTGAGGACAGACCCTCCATGGGATATCACAGTCCGGGGACCCAGTGGTGTCCAGCTGTAGGCCACAGTGTCTCCTCCGCTTTCTGCCACACATGTCAGGATGATGATRCAGTTTCCATTATCACCAATCCTGGAGCTCAGTGTGACGCGGGGTGGGACCAGCTTTTCTGAGTGTGCAAAATGGAACAAAGTGAGGACTGGGAAACCTCTCTGGGCTTCTACTTTACAAGATAGAAAACACAATACATTGCAACCCAAAACCCTGCACCACCCTGAGTTTACATAAGGAACAACAGAGGCAGGATCTGCCCACATCTACTCTAGAGTTTTAGGCTTTACGAGGTAATGTCAATATCTCTTTTGATTTCCAGAACAATTCCATGAGCTACATAAGGATGTGTTATATCTATTCTATTTCACAGGCTTAGAATGCTTAAGTAATTTGCCCAAAGTGATGAATCCCAAACTCAGRTCCAGTGGATTTGGCCTGGGTTCCTACCCCTATATGGAATAAAGGAACACATGCCCTGGGCTGTGTTGTAATTACATCTTTCCCCAGTAGGGGGCTCTGTGGCATGCCCTGAGCTTCCAAATATTGACCAGGGCCTGGAGAGGATGTGGTCCTGTGTTTTTGAGGTTTCTTCCACCCACTTCCACTGCCTTGCTATCCTCTTCCCCCTGGCCCATGCATCCCATACTATTCCTCAGATGCCCCCTTCCCATTATTTGCCAGAACCAGGAGCATTTGGGAGAGGAAGCAAGAACAACAGACAACCCAGACAGGCTTGACCAAGCCATAGAGCATGGGAGGAGGACACTCTGCTATTCATCCTCAGTCCTGTGGCCCAGCTCACTGCAGCCCCAGGAGTGTCCCCTGGGAGGAAGCAACTTGAACTCCCACTGGTAAGTAACTTTCTGCTGCCTCACCCCAGTGTCTTATAGACCAAACTCTAGCATGGAAACCCTTTCCCCTTTGATTTTTGCAGGCTCTCTTCTTAGAGTCTTCACTAGTTCAGAAAGCTAAAGATTGTCACATGCCAGTGTGAGAAACACACTCATCTGTCAAACCCAAAGAATGGACTGAGTGACATGAGGTCTAGCAAAAAGCAAGGAGTTTTGCAAGTGCAGGTGTCTGGGGAAGCAGGCACACCCAKATTGGGTACAACCAGAATTCTGTCCCCTAGAGCACAAGGTCCCTCCTCTGGTTCTTCATTGTCTGAGTACTATGCGGTATACAGCTAAGTTTTACTGTCTCCAGTTGGGTTATTCAAAGAAATACACCTTTTGTTGTCCTTACTTCCCTGGGTTCTCTTGTGGCAGGAAAGTCCCTTTGGATTGAGTCCCTTTGGGTGAGAACACAGTGCATCTCTGTTGGTCAGGCTGGGCCCTCTTCTCACCTCCTGTTTGTCAAGAGGCTATGAATTTCTATATTTGTATTAACTGTAATTCTTTTCATTCTCTCCCCTTCAGCTGCCTTTCTTACATGCCAAGTCATTTTACATTTTAAGCTAAATATTGTATTTTGAAAATGGACCACCAGACTTTTTATGTCTCATAACAGGAAGCCAAGGAACCAGGGCACAAGACACAGCATCAGGATACCTAAATTCTTGTTATGGTTTTGATATGAGGTGTCCCTCAAAAGCTCCCACGTTAATGTAGGAGGTGATATGGTTAAATTATAAGAGATGTATCCTAATCAGTGGATTAATTCATTTGATGAACTAATAATTTGAATGCAGTACCTAGGTGGTAACTATAGGTAGGTGGGGCATGACTGGAGGAATAACTCTCTGGGCATGCCCTTGGGGATCATATCTTCCCCAGGCTCCTCCCTCTCTCTCCCTGCTTCTCAGGCACCATGACATTCTGCCTCACCTCAGGCCCAGAGCCATGGATTCAGCCAGCCAAGGACTGAACCTCTGAAACAGTAAACCAAAATAAACTTTTCCTCCTAGCAATGACTGTGAGACTGACTGGTTGGATATTTTAGGTCACAACAACAGAAAAACTAACACCGTTCTCTTTCCAAGTCTTCCACCTGCTGAGTTCTGTGTGGTGGACTTAGTTTCCTTAGCCTGAGAATACAAACCCTTGCCTGCCCACTGGCAGGGCTGTTGTGAGGTGCCGGTGACTTGGGAAATGCTCTGTGAAGGATAAAATCCTGGCTTATTTTCATGGTTGTGCCCCTGGGCATCAACCCAGAGTGAAAGGCTTAGGGGAGAGCCTGCCCCTGGTAGACCAATAGACCCCCATCTCTTGCCCACAAACCAATCAACACTCTTCCATGTGGAGCACATCTTGCCAGGATAGCCATCAGCATGTTGAGAGGCCTTTCCCACCAGCTTTGGGCCCACCCTAGTGAACATCCTACCCAGGTTCCCACAGCTCCACCCCTCTTGTTGCTAAGAACTGGCTGTAACCAGCCCAGGCCCCAAATCTCCAACTGTGTGTACCTGCAAGGGAGCAATCCCAACATCCCCCACTAGACCAATGGCTCCATCTCATGGGAATATTTTCTAACACACAATCAAAGAGGATGGCAAGACTCCCACCTTCCTCGGTCAGTTAGTTTCCCTGGGTCCCCCTCAGTCAGCCTCCCTACCTTGCCCACCTAACCACTGCGGGGGAACCACTCTGCCATGACACCCAGAGACCTTGAACATCTTCCTCAGGCTAAGTTTGAACCACAGCTAGTCTGTATTGGGCCAAAATTTCAGAACACAAGAGGCTAAAAGGCTTGGGAAGCACTCCTGGAAAGAACTCTCCCTTCTCTCCCTCTCCCTCCCTCTCCCTCCCTCTGCCTCCCTCTGCCTCCCTCTGCCTCCCTCTGCCTCCCTCTGCCTCCTTCTCCTCTCTCTCTCCCTCCCTCTCCCTCCCTCTCCCTCCCTCTCTCTCCCTCTCCCTCTCTTTCCCTCTCTCTCCCTCCCCCTCTCTCCCTCTCCCTCCCTCTCTCTCCTTCTCCCTCTCTCTCCCTGTCTCTCCCTCTCTCCCCCCTCTCTTCCCTGGAAGGCAATCTGGAGACACTTCCTTGTAGCCTTGGGCTCTAATGAGGTATGCGGCTTCCCCTGCAGAACAGAGCAGTGGACCATAAAACCTCCTCATTGCAAGAACAGACTCCCCAGCATCATGTGTCTCACAGCTTGCATCACAGTCATCTGACTYCTTTTGCTTCAGTGGTATCTTTTCTGGTGAGTGGAACAAGGAACTGGGGAGGCCTTTTGGTGTTTCTTCCTTTGACTATCTGTATAAGTAATGAACTGTCTGAATCACAAAGTGACTCAAGGTATCTTCCACATCAGCCAGGTGCTGACCTAGGCTTTGACATGTTTTAGGAGATTCTCCCAGGTAACCTTAATTCAGATATTTTTTTAGAGTAAGCATATGTCAGTCTTCTAATTGGAAAGTAAGGTTACTAAATATGACTAACAATGACTGTGAAACTGACACGGCCCCCGTCCACCTGCCCCAGAACACTCACCAAAGACTTGCAGCTGGTACTCCTGGGTATGAGTGATAAGGGAAGTCCTCAGGTTAATGTGGGCCCGGTAGTACCCTGCATCCTCTTGGCTCAGATTGCCAATCTGCAGGGAGTGGCCTGGACCCACCACATTYATGCGGCCCCAGTACCGGCTCTCCGCCTGGTAAAAGGTGTCTCGTCCTCCACCTTCTACTATGGTGACTGTGGCAATTGCCCCAGGGACTGAACGGGACATCCAGGAGATACTCTCTACCTGCTGTCCTGGCAGCACATGCAGGGGCAGAGTGACAGACCCTCCTAGGGTCCCAGTTATCACCAGARGTGCTGAGTCCTCTCTGGACATTCTTGGACCTGTGGACACAGAAGAAAAACTTCAGGGCATTCTGACTGAGCCAGGAGGTTACAATGGGCCTGAGTCAGGAAAGGGATGACCATCCCCGTGTCATAGATGAGAAAACGGAGACCTCAAGCATTGAGGTGGCCTGCTCAAGGCTCCATAGCTAGTTAGTGGTAGAACTGGAACAGGAGCGAGTACCCACCCCTTCACRCAGGAGGCTCTTCTTCAGTATCAAACTCATTAACATATGATGAAATAGCTACCCAAATGCTATCCAAGGACTCCCAGGTGCCCAGTGGAAGGGAAACTAGGGCAATTCTGGGGAAGTACCTGATGATCCCTGCTGTCACTGGCTGACAGGCTAGGTCAGAACTCACCCGACCCAGCCCCATCTACAACATAGACTGCCTGTCTTACAGCATCCCCAGAATTGTTTGTCTGTCCAGCCACCTCTCAAACAGAAACCAGCTCCTGTGAGGCCCATCAAGATTCCTGAAGTGCATCTTTCTGGGGCAGGGGGACGAGTGTAGTGCTGGCCAAGCCAGTTTAGGGTGCTCAGTGGGCCCGAGGTTGAGATCCCAGCCTACACTGAACTTAGAGAAGAGTGTAAGCCCTCAGGCACCAGGCAGACTGCTCAAGTTCAAACTTTTGCACTACTAGCTGTGTGATCTCAGGCAGGTAGCCCTCTGAATCTCAGTTTTTTCACCTGTAAAATAGAAATGTCATCTAGGATTTCATAAAGGTTAAATGAAATAAAGCAAGAAAACATTATCTAATATTAGTACTTATAATAATTATTAGAGTAAATTATTAGAATTCCTTCTCTTCCTCCTCCCTCTCTTCCTCTTCCCCCTCCCCCTTTTCAGGACTGGGAAATGAACACAGGATGTTGCACAAGCAGGGCAAGTGCTCTACCAGCTCTTTTAAATTTTTTAATTTTTTGACAAGGTCTTATTAGGTTGCGTAGGCTGACCTCAAACTTGCACTATCCTCCTTCCTCAGCCTCTCAAGTACACTATTAGTATTTTTTTTTCTTGGAGACAAAAAGACAAAACTCACTAAGTTGCTTAAGGCCTCACTAAATTGCTAAGGCTGGTCTAGAACTTGTGAGCCTCCTGCCTCGGTCTCCCCAATCACTGAGATGACAGGCAAGCACCACTGTGCCTGGCACTATTAGTATTCTTAAAGATACATAACATCATTGGAATAAATTAGTGAGTGCACCAAATTTGCACTTCATTAAATCTAGTCATCATCCTTGTAGAACACTTTTTAAGTATTTTTAAAAATTTTCATTCATGCACTGTGATCATATACAATAGTGGGTTTTGTTGTGATGTATTTGTACACGCACATGACATAACTTGACCAGTTTCATTCCCCAGTACCTCTTCTTTCCCTTCTCTTTCCCCCTGATTCCCTTCCTCAACTCTAATGGTCTCCTTTCAATTTTTGTGAGGTCTCTTTTTAAGTGTTTTTCTAACTTCCACATAGGAGAGAAAACACCTGACCCTGGACTTTCTGAGACTGGTTTGTTTCACTCAACAAGATGCTGTCCGGTTTCATCCATTTTTCCTCAAATGACATAATTTCCTTCTTTGTGRCCGAGTAAAACTCCATTGTGTATAAATACCACATTTTCTGTGTCCATTTATCTATTGAGAGATACCTAGGGTGGTTTCATAACTTGGTTGTTATGAATTGTGCTGCCACTTCTCAGTAGCATGGACCATCTCTGTGTTTTTGCCACATACACATGCAATCCCAGAAGGCAGAAAATCTGACACAAAGTCTGTCACACAGTTATTTAGAGAGAAAAGGCAGCATGGCTCAGGGAGGGATCTGTGTCCTGATTTGAACTTGGATTTGGAAGCACTGCTCATATCACTAACACCTAAGTCAGATGAGGAGCCTCCTTGTTAAAAGTAGAACCAAGAAGTCCTGTGGTCACCATGAGTGGGAGGATGCACACCACGCTGGGGACCACAGCATCTTGGTGTGTTCACCACAGAACCCACTGGACAGCTCAGGCTAGCTCTGCCTGGAGCCAACTAGTGGGAAGCATCCCACAGCAGGGTGATACTGACCAGTAGACCCTCCTCTCTCCAAACCGGGCCCTAGGTCTGATATCTAGCCTGGGGGAATCCAACCAGGGACAAGCAGCTTTGTGCACCCTTAAACCCTCAAGTGCAATAACTCCCTGGGCTCAGTTCAGGTTCTATTCCCTTGATGCAGCCTTGTCCAAGCTCCATACTTCCAGTCCAGCCATGCCTTCCCTTTTTCTGAGATTTTATTGGCTAATTTTGTTTTAAACATGTACTTCCTTCTGCCTCACACAAATATGTGTGCAATGTGTCTATCCCCAGATCCATAGCTCCCCAAAGAGAGAAGATGGTGAAAGGGATTAATGCCTGACTAATAAAACAAGTCAGGCTGGGTGGGTTCACCTCATGGGTAGATGTGGTGGGGTAGATGTCAGGCTCCTTGGCGTGAATCCTGTTTTCTGACACCGATGAAAGGAAAGTGATACAAAGGAGTCAGAGGCAGGACACAAATCCCAACAGCCAGACACTTGGCTGAGCACTCTGTACACATATTTCATTTAATCCTCCTCAAAAACTTGTAAAGTAGGTATTCTTCTTCCCTATTTCCATTTGGAGATCATGAAATTTAAAGAACTTAAGAAACTCGCTCATACTCCTCAGCTAGGGAGGGTAGAGTTCAAACTAAAACCCAGGTGCTTCTGACCCTAAAATTGGTGCTCTGTATGCTACCCTGTACTGTCAACAGCAGAATTTCCCACACTGAATTCCTCCCCCATGTCACACTGACACCCCTTTTCTAAAACACACACAGTGATCACTAAGGAAGGGCCTGACCAGAAACCATGACATGGAGACAGCTCCATGTGCAGGCTCTGCAGCTGAAGCGGAGGGTGTTACAAGAATCCAGCTTCTGGTTTCAGTTCTCTCTTTAATGGTGGCTCTGTGGTTCTCTGAGACTCTTGTTGCTGCCCTGTTCCCATAGTTGCATTCTGCTGAATAGTTGCACTGTGCTGACTTTCAGTTTCACTGACCACCTGCCTGTGCCAGCGCATGGTCACTGAGGCTCCCAGCCCTATCATCTGAAAACCTGGTGTAATACTACCTGCCTTATTGACATCCTAGTGTTGCATTAGAGATCCAGATTTTTTACACATAAGTGAAAGCCTTTATCATCTGCAAGTTTTAAACACAGTAAAGAGGTTCATCAACGTGTTAAAGGCGGGAGTAGGGACAATCTTGAAGGCAAGTGACTCTGATAGCCAGTATAATCTGGCCCCACCCCCTGCCCACCCCACTCCCACCCCCACTCACCCTGAAGGGGGAACAAAACTGAAAGCTTGGAACTCAGGAGATAGACCAGAACACAGCCCCTCACCACAAATTTCTCAAGAACTATCTTCTTTTAACCCACATGCCAAGCCATCTCCTGCCAGGGATCAGATCCTCGTCAGGGGCAAGCAGTGAGAATCCAGAGGGGCAGGAAGAGCCCACAAGGCGTTGGGCTTGAGATGCTCTCCTGAAGTCATTTGGGGGACATAGAAGTCCCCATCCATCATGAGAGGTGACTCTTAGGGACTAGCAGGAGAAGTAAAAGGTGGAACAAGACATAGAGCACCTACTACAGAACACAAACCCCAAGCAGCATCCCTATGGGTCCTTAAAAACCTGAATGTCTCAGGAAACACACTTGAAAGTGCAAGAAGCAGAAAAGGCAGGTCCTGGAAGTGGGTGTGGCTGATCCCCTGTCTAGTGCCCCCATCATTCAGCCTCTCTGGAAATGTCCAGGGTTCTTGTACAACATCAGTAGAAGAAATGTGAGGATCACAAGGACATGGCTGGGCCTGCATGACCTGAGATTATTGCAGAGGCGTAAGCACACTTGTGCACATGCACGCACGTGCGCGCGCGCACACACACACACACACACACACACACACACAGAGTCTGGTTCCCACAGAGGCAGCACCTTCAATGAAAACTGCCCATTCTTAGACTAAACCATTGTGCAGGGCAGGTAGAAGATGCTGGGAGGGATGCACTTACCCATGAGAAGACTAAGGAGGAGCCAAGACCATGGTAGAGAAGGTGCCATAAGGATGGGCCAGCCTTGCAGCAGCAGGAAGATTGTGTGTGTGAATGTGAGCCCACAATGTGAGCCCACAAACATTTCCTGTATTTGGTGTCACCACTTTAATCATACGTAGTTTTCAAGTCACAAGATGTGAAGATGAGGGGGACACAAAAGAAGGAAGGATGAGAATCACCACAGTGAGCTATTTAAAAACCCAAACCACTGCACATATGGTGCGAGGCTACATCACGTACAACCAGARAAATGAAAAGTTGAGCTGCAATTGTGCACAATGAGTCCAAATGCATTCTGCTGTCCTATATACCTAATTAAAATAAATTAATTAATTAAAAAACAAACACAAAACTAATGATGTCACAGACTTACTTTAAACCCTTCAGGGGTCTACTATCCCTTACAAGGCGAAGAAGTGCAAAATCAAAATCTCGGTGGGCAAGGCCCTTTATGATCAGCTTGCATCTTGTTCCCAATCCCAGCTTCATGTTTCATCATCAAATGTCACACCTTGTGTGACTCCAGTCATGCAGAATACTTCTAAATCAGTCCCCACCTGCTTTTCACTATTTGTTAAGTTGTAGATGGGCACAATACCTTTATTACATTTATTTATTTTTATGTGGTACTGAGGATTGAACCCAGTGCCTCACACATGCTAGGAAAACGTTCAACCACTGAGCTACAACCCCAGTCCTGGAAATTAGTGCTCTATCTGACCTGCAATTCATTTTTTTTAATTTTTAAATTTGTTTTCATTAGTTATACATGATGGTAAAATGCATTTAGGCACTTTGATATATCATACATAAATGGGGTATAATTTCTCATTTTTCTGATTGAACATGTTAGAGAATCACATGGGTCATGCAGTCATTTTATGTACATAAGGTAATAATGTCTGTTTCATTTTACAATCTTTCCTATCCCCATAACCCCTCCTCTCCCTTCACTTCCCTCTACCTAATTTAATAATACAAGTTTTCCCTAGCACCACTCCCCTTATTGTGAAATGGCATCCACATATAAAAGAAAACATTTGGCCTTTGTATTTTGGGGATTGGCTTATTTCACTTAGCAACCTTCTCCATTTTACCTGAAAATGCCATGATTTTATTCTCTTTAAAGCTGAATATATATACCACATTTTCTTTATGCATTCATCTATTGAAGGACACCTAAGTTGGTTCCATAGTTTAGCTATTGTGAATTGAGCTGCTATAAACATTGAYGTGGTCACTGTAGTATGCTGATTTTAAGCCCTTTGGGTATAAACTGAAGAGTTGGATAGCTGGGTCAAATGGTAGTTCCATTCCAAGTTTCCTGAGGGATTTCCATCCTGCTTTCCATAGTGGCTGCACCAATTTGCAGTCCCACCAGCAATGAATCAGTGTATCTTTTTCCCCACATACTCGCCATCACTTATTGTTGCTTGTATTCTTGATAACTGCCATTCTGACTGGAATGAGATAAGATCTTAGAGTAGATTTGATTYGCAATTCTCTAAGTGCTAAAGATATTGAGTATTTTTTCATATATTTGTTGATCCATTGTATTTCTTCTTCTGTGAAATGTCTGTTCAGCTCCTTAGCCCATTTATTGATGGGTTATTTGTTTTTTTGTATGTGTGTTAAGTTTTTTTTTTTTTTTTAGTTCTTTATACATCCTGGAGATTAGTGCTCTATCTGACCTGAAAGTAGAAAAAATTTGCTCCCAAAATGCAGGCTCTCTCTTCACATTATTGATTGTTTCTTTGACTGAGAAGATACTTTTTAGTCTGAATCCATCCATTGATTCTTGATTTTATTTCTTGACTTTAGGGATATTGTTATGGAAGTCAGATCTTAGGCTGATGTGGTTAAGAGTTGGGCCTATTTTTCCTTCTATCAGGCACAGGGTGTCTGTTCTAGTGCCTAAGTCTTTGGTCCACTTTGAGTTGATTTTTGTGCAAGACGAGAGACAGAGGTTTAATTTCATTTTGTTACATGTGGCTTTCCATTTTTCTCAGCACCATTTGTTGAATAGGCTCTCTTTTCTCCAGCGAATAAACATTGGCACCTTTATCTAGTATGAGAAAGTGTATTTGTGTAGGTTTGTCTCTGTGTCTTCTATTCTGTACCATTGGTCTATGTATCCGTTTTGGTGCCCATACCATACGGATTTTGTGACTATAGTTCTGTAGTATTGTATAAAGTCTGGGATTGTGATGCAACCTGCTTCACTTTTCTTTCGAAGGATGGCTTTGGCTATTATGGCTCTCTTATTTTTCCAAATCAATTTCATGATTGCTTTTTCTATTTATATGAAGAATGTTGTTGGGATTTTAGTTGAAATTTTATTAAATCTGTAAAATGCTTTTGGTAGTATGGCCATTTGAACAATATTAATTCTGCCTATCCAGGAGCATGGGAGATCTTTCCATCTTCTAAGGTCTTCTATAGTTTCTTTCTTTAGTGTTCTGTAGTTTTCATTGTAGAGGTCTTTCACCT